TGCTGGCACTGCTGATATTGAAGCCCCTTTCGATTGATTATTGCAAACACACACCGCTATACATTCTTACGATCCTTGTTGGTTCTATACTGGCACTGCTGATATTGAAACCCCTTGCGATTGATTATTGCAAACACACACCGCTATACATTCTTACGATCCTTGTTGGTTCTATACTGGCACTGCTGATATTGAAACCCCTTGCGATTGATTATTGCAAACACACACCGCTATACATTCTTACGATCCTTGTTGGTTCTATACTGGCACTGCTGATATTGAAACCCCTTGCGATTGATTATTGCAAACACACACCGCTATACATTCTTACGATCCTTGTTGGTTCTATACTGGCACTGCTGATATTGAAACCCCTTGCGATTGATTGTAAACACACACCACCATACATTCGTACGATCTTCGCCGGTGTGATTACTAGCAATCTCTGCGCCGGTCCCGGTCTGGTTCGGTCCCTCGCCAGGGATTGCGAATGTGTTCCCTCGCCCCGCTTCCCTTCTCGCTTTCCGCCCGCGTTTTCGCGTCTGGTGGCTGCTTGGGTGTTCTTCCCCACCTCCCCATTTTGCGTCTGGTGGCTGCTTGGGTGTTCTTCCCCACCTCCCCCTTTTCGCTTTTTCGGACGTCCCCTCCCACGTTTTTTGCGTCTGGTCGCATTTCACTTCGGTTCGGTTCGGTTTCGTTTTGTCGATGTCGTAAACAAGCCGTGTGCGTTTACGAGAAATCAATGGTGGTTGCGAGCGGGCCTGCATGTATAGGGGGAGGCGTGCGTGCGTCAGCGAGTTCTTACGGCGTTTTAGCTAGAGATGCGTACCCACGGGGGGAGGGAATGGGTTAGGGGCTTGGTTCTTGGAGAGAGGGTATCGGAAGGTGGGAGACTACCAGGGGGTGGGGAAGGTATCCAGGAGTGGGGGAGGGTATCAGCCTATCAGGGGGTGTGAAGAGTATCGGGGGATGGTATCAGGGGGTTTGCAAGGGTATCAGGCATGGGGAAGGGTATGATCAGGGGGTGAAGAGAGAGTATCGGGTACTAATAACTATGACTGTGGCAGATGGGGTCGTTGTCGTATCAGGTACTACAGATATGTACCCGAGGTAGTTTTAGGTTGTTTAGTATTATGTTTATATTTTTATATGAGGTATGTTTATGGTTAGGGTTAGGGTACACTTCTGTAGTACAAGTCTGGTACACTTTGTGTATACATATATTATGACTCGGGTACATATCTGTAGTACCTGATACGACAACGACCTCTTGAGCATGACTGTGCTAGTCTAAGGTCATGTCTATAGTAAGGTACGCTGAGGTGGGACAGCTGAAGTTATAGCCGAGTTGTGTTCTCTGCAGTATAACCACTGAGAGAGAATAATAACCCATTCACGCGGCGAGTCAAAAGCTTGTCCGCGACGCAGAGGAAAATAAACCCCTTCGAATTATATTGCCCGCCGTGTTTTTTTCTCCGTGCTCGTAGAACGCCAATACGAGTGCGGGTTTTTATTGTGAGCAATTATATTGAATAGTGTGTGCGTAAGATCGCGTGAGTCAGCAGCCAGGATTACTTGTGTTTAGCTATCGGTTACTGCGCGCCCGCACTCGCTCCACGAGAGTATCCAAGCAATATTCAAAGAGTAAACAGTGTGCGGCAGCGTAGTTGTATAGATTTGTTCATGACGCACGTTAAACAGGAAATTTTATTCGGAAGTACACACGCACGCACAGACGCACGCATGCACACGTACATGCACGCACACGCACGCACACGTATGCATGCATGCACGCTCACTCCTCCCTCACTCACGCACGCACACAAACAAATGCTGGCGCAGGACATTTTCACAAACACGAGCATTCCATCTACGACGGCCGACGCAGGGAACGAGCGAACGAACAATCGCGAGTGCGGCGCGTTTTTCACATATTTTTTCTTCGTTCTCTCTCCCCACAGGTTCGCCTCGTGCAGAAGCGAGACACGGGACACACCTATGCAATGAAGATCCTGCGAAAGTCGGACATGCTCGAAAAGGAACAGGTAGGTCCCCCCCCCCCCCCCGCTCGCTAATTACCGTCGCCGCTAAGACCAAAACAAAACATAG